AACATATACTTTGGCGGCTGAACAATCATCTTATTGGGTAAGGAGACTCCATTTTCGTAAACTACACGAGAGCGACAGGAGTCCACGTGTTGTTTCCAGTGTGCCTTTACACAGGGGTCTCTGTAGACTGAGGGCTTTGACGCAAAGGGAGCTCTATCCTGGTAAAGTGGGGTCTCCAGGGGAGGAAGGTCCATTGCACAGGTTGGTGCTGGAGAAGTGCCTCAGTCATGTTTTCGCCAGCGGGTCAAACAACTGCAGTGCTGTCCTCGTGTCTTTGTCACTGAGGGTCACCCAGTGTCCAGAGTCCTTCTGCCCGTGGTCTGCTGGCAGTAGCTCCACCTTCGCGGCTGAAGCAGTGACTTGGGGGGGGTCCGTGGGTGCCCTTTCAAAGCTCCCAGTCCCCGAGTCCAAAGGGCTGGAACTCTTGGAAAGCCAGGCATAATTCAACAGTGTAGGGTGATGGAGAAGGTTCCAGAAGTGGTCCTGATAATCATCAGGAGGGGAGGCTACCTCTGACTCCATCTTCTTGGTGGCACTGGTGTCAGGGCTTGTGGCAGATGACATGCCGAGAAAATCTGCCTGCAGAGAGAGGGAGCCAGCACCCAGCGGGGGTCCGGGCAGGCAGTCATCGCGGCTGCCACAGTAGGAAAGGCCCTGGAGGAGCTGGTTGCTGTTCTGCAGAACCTGCAGGTGGAAGGCAGCCGGGGCCGACTTCTTCCTCCTCGGAGGGACCTTGGGCACAGGAGACGGGACCTCCAGCAGCGGTGGCGAGGTGGCTCCTGCCCCTTGCGGGGCCTCATCTGATGCTGGCTTCTCCAGGCCTGGCCTCCTCTCGGCACCTCTCCCAGGCTGAAACGTTCTGGGTTTGGGCACCGGAGGCAGTTGAGGGGCTGTCACTAGAGAAGGGGTTTCAGCACTCATCTCTGAGGGCCCGATTGTGAAGAGGGCAGTCCGTTCCTCACACTGTTCTTCCGGTGACGTGGGCTGCGAAAAGGCAAGACAAAGAGTGTCAGTGAGAAGCCAGGACCCGGAGCGAGAATCAGAGAACACTCAGGTCAGAGAGAAAGCTCAGTGGACAGGCCAACAAACACGATTCGAGGATGTCTGGATGCTGGAGGTGGTGACCAGGTAAGAAAAAGGATGGGAGAAACACTCATTGATGGAGAAATAGCAGTTCCCATGAAACGGAAGGGAAATTTTAAAACCAGGGCCACAGCGAACAATTTGAGACAATTTTTTTTTTTTTTAATTACCTTAGCTATCGGGGTATACTCTCCCCTTATTAAAACCAAACCTCCCTGAGAACATCCCAGGCTCCAGTGAGTGGTGAGGATTCACCCATCTGTACCAGGCACGGGGGACATGCCTCCTGTTATAGCAGTGAGCTAACTGATGGAGCAATGGAAACCACTCTCTCCTTGGACTTTGATTTAGGTGTAAAATGAAAATGTTTTCACAGGGTCTTGACTTCCTCGGTTCTGGTTCAAAGTGATCACAAAGCAAAAACCTGCCCAGTGCAAGATGAAGCCTTTGTACAGACATGGCCCTCAGTAGCTTCCCAGGGCCAACTGCCACGGAGGTGACCTTGACACATGGTGATCCCACGGGTGTCAAGAGTAGAACTGGGCTCCGTGGGGCTGTCAATGGCTCATGTTTCAGAAGCAGATCACCAGGCCTTTCTTCAAGGCACTACTGGGTAGCCTTGAACTTCTAACCTCTCAGTCAGCAGCCGAGCACGTAACTGTTTATATTGCCCAGAGATTCTGGCCTTTCAGTATTTCCTTTGGTTCTTTTGAAAACAAACCCAAAACAAAACAAGTCTCCAACAGCCTTTGACTGAGACGCCTATGTGACAGGCTGGGAAAGTGAATCCGTTTCTGCACCTGGCTTTTGAAAGCAAAGACACAGCAAGGACCAGGACAAAGAGGAGAGAGATCAGTTTTGAGCAGGAGGGACAAATGGACAGATGCAACAAGCTCCAGAGGGACAGAACAGCCGCTCAGGGGATGCCCGTGAGCTCCACAGATAGCAAAGCACCAGAGTGACCGCTCACAGTTTCCACGGGTGACACACAGCCGCCACCCTGAGACAACCAGGCAGGGGATTACCGAGTGTCCTGCCACTAGAACCCGAGCTCAAACGGCAGATCCAGATGTCTCTAGAGGCGCCAGTCTCTGGGCTGCTACTGTCCTTACCAACTCATGTCTCTGAAGCAGCAAGCAAGGCTGAGAAGCTGGAGCGCGGGAACAAAAGGCAATCTGCAAGAAAAGTGGCGAGAGAAGCCGTGGGGCCTCCCGGGGACCCAGGCCACCAGGGCCATGGAGCCGCCCGGAGACCCGGGCCATCCAAGCTTGCAAAGGCTCAAGAACGGGTTGCTGCTCTGCTGTGCAAATAATATTGCACGCGAGAAACCACGTGCACACAGCGCAGGCCACGTACAAACGGAGAAAGTCAGACGCTTGAGAAGAAGAGCAAAGAGGATAATAGGACGCTGGGCCAAAGGGCCCCGAGAGGGTTTGGCTGGGGCCAAACCGAACATTTGTGAAACATCAAACTGAAAGCTGTTCTTGTCACAGTGAGACTCTGCAGAAAGACAGGAAAAGACTCATTTTTGTGCTCAGCTGCAGCCAGGATGCAGCCGGACATAGCGAGAAGGGAGTCAATGGGGATTCTCTTAAAGGAGAGGCTCCGTAGGACTGACGGACGGGGACAGAGCCTAGTCTCAATTAGCTAGGTTTCTGCCCGTGAAACGTAACTCCCCTCTAACCGTAGGTTCAGACAACTTAGGAGTAAGTTTGTGTCCCTGGGTCCTTACTTTGCCTGTCCTTCTCAGGGTTGGTTTCTTGATGGTAGGAACTCTGGGCGCGGGCCGCCGGGGAAGGGACTGGGGCATCTGGAAGGACTCCGGCTTGCTCTCCCCAGGTGTGAGCTCTGGTTTGGAGGTTCCTGGGTCCCTCAGGACCATGGCATTCTGAGCTTCTTCTGGGGTCCCTGGAAAGTGAGATTGCATGGTTGAGGTTAAAGAGAGAAAGGCGATTCACTGCCTGGCTTACTCTCTAGACAAGAGTCTACGTTCTAAGGATAATTCACTTACAAAATGTATTCCCCTTCAAAAGTCTTTGAAGAGCATCAAGTTTGGCTCCTAGCTATTCACGTTCACTTCTCAACAGGGATGGTGCTCCATGGTCCATGGACAGTCCTGGTGCCCTGACACCATGCACAAAGTTTTAAGTGTATGTGAACACTGCAGGGGCATCTCCATCCACATCTCCAGGGCCAAGAGATTTCATACCTCAAACCTCTACATCAACAGGAGTTCTTTTAATAAATGCTTTTAGAAAAACCAAAACTCACTGCCACTGAATTGATTCCCACTCATAGTGACCCCCACTGGGTTTCCAGGCTGTAACTCTTTAAGGAAGCAGACTGCCTCATCTTTCTTCCACAGAGCAGATGGTGGGTTCAAACCATTGACTTTTGGTTAGCAGCCAAGTGCCAATAACGCTTTATTGACATATAATTCACATGCCATAAAAGTGCCCTTTCAAAATGTACAATTGAGTCCAAGGGTTTAGGGCATTCGGTGAGCTGCACAGCCATCACCACTGTCTAACTCCAAGAGGTTGTCATCATCCCCAAAAAACCCCTGCCCATCTGCAGTCCCTCCCCACTCCCTACTCCCCCAGGCTCTGGGAACCACTGGCCAACGTTCCGTCTTCATGGACTTGTCTACTCTGGACATTGCACGTCAACTGAATCACACAACGTGTGGCCTTTCGTGTCTGCCTTCTCCCCTTCAGCATCACGTTTCTAAGGTTCATCCAGGTCAGAACATGTGTTAGTATCTCCTGTCTCTCTGTTGCTTCATCATGTCCCATCAGAAGGGCTCCCTACATTTTGCTTATTCATTCTGTTGACAGACATTTGGGTTGTTATAGTCATAAAATTCTAGTTAGTTATTTTTTTAAAATTATAAAAAAAATCACTGGTAGTGGTGTTAACCTAAAATGGTGTTTCTCAACCATGGAGCTCATGTACTCTTTCCATGCATTGCATATGTCTTCTTTTTTGGGGTCATATTTCTTTTCAAAGTAAATATCTCCCCTCTCCCAGTGAGAGTCTGATGCAAAGTCAAAACAAAACAAAACACAAAGATTTTAGTTACCAGTGATTTTGAGTGAGGCATGTTCCAACTTAAACCATGACTAATGTGGGCTAAATGAAGTAATAGCAGCAAATTAACCAGCAATGAAGCAGAGATGATATCCCCCGACAGCAAAGGATCTGTCCATACGTGCTGGTGTTCACAGGTGCTGCTGTCCACACATGCTGCTCTCTGTCTACAGGTGTTGGTTTTCTACAGGTGCTGGTGTCCACACATGCTGCTGTCTACAGGTGCTGCTGTCCACACGTGCTGCTGTCCACACGTGCTGCTGTCTATAGATGCTGGTGTCCACACGTGCTGCTGTCTATACGTTCTGGTAATTTCAAAGTGGGTTTTGTGCTGAAACAGGACTCCTATTAGAGCTAGCTCATCTCACAGAGCCAGCAGGATGAGTTGGTGTCTGCCACGTTAACCACTCTGAAAACTCATATTTGCTTAGTTCAGTCTCTCCCTTAAGGGCTGTGCAGTAAGCCTTGGAGGTTGTTCATAGACTCAGTGAACAATGAATGTGTATGACAATAACTTTTAGTGCAACATTACCAAAAGTTGCTAAGGGGTAAAACTGAACCAGGCCAAATCCATTGCCATCAATTCCAACTCACAGTGACCCCTGCGACCGAGTGGAACTTCCCCACTGGATTTCCTAGCCTATAATCTTTATGGAAGATTGCTAGGTCTTTCTGCCTTGGAGCTACTGAGTGGGTTTGAACCACCAACATTTTGGTTAGCAGCTGAGTGCTTAATGATTATGCCACTAAGGCACCTTTCTTAAAAATCTCAGCCGTTAACTCATTGCCATTGAGTCAATTCTGACTCGTTGTGACCTTGGACAGAGTAGAACTGCCTTTAGGGTTTTTTAGGGAAGCAGCCAGCCACATCTTTTCTTTTGGACAGCAGGTGGTGGGTTCAAACCATTAACTTTCTGGTTAGCAGCCAAGTGCTTAAACACTATGCCACCAGGCTAAGAGGTACTTTCACTGAATACTGCTTCCAGAAAAAAAAAAATCAAATCTTTTTTGAGTCCTTTGGGAGCTCTGGTGGCATAGTGCCTGAGGCATTTGACTGCTAACCAGAAGGCTGGTGGTTCAAACTCACCAGCCACTCCTTGGAAGGAAGGTTGGGCAATTGACTTCCATAGAGATACTGCCTCGGAAACCCAAGGAGGGGTCGCTATGAATCGGATTCGACTGGATGGCAGCAAGTTTGGTTTGGTTTAGTTTTAGTAGGAAGGAGAAGCTCTGGTGGCGCAGTGCCCAAGGCATTTGACTGCTAACCAGAAGGTTGGTGGTTCAAATCCACCAGCCACTCTGTGGGAGGAAGATGGGGCAATCTACTTCCATAAAGATTTACCACCTCAGAAACCCAGTAGGGGTTGTCATGAACCAGAACTGATTTGATGGCAGTGAGTTTTGTTTTTTTTTGTAGGAAGAGGAAAAGGAAGCAAGGTTTTCCTCAGGCAGGGAGGAAGCCCACCTCCTCTGGCTTCCATGAGACATCGGATTGCGGCTTCTGCCTCCTGAGCGTTGCTGGTTTTGATTTGCTTGACGTTGTAGGGTTTACTTATTCCGGTCCTGGCTTTGGGCTGGAGGACAGAATTAGGAAGAGAAGCAGGTTAACACAGGTAGGAACACAGCCTCATACACAAACTCCTTACTTCCCCGTCTGAACGCATCAAAACGTATACTCCATATAAAGCACACCCCTAGGAACCCGGAAGTACCCTTATACCCAGAAGGCAGGCAGAATAACACCAAGTGCCACGGTTGCCATAGAGATGACCCTGCCTCATGGCAATCCAATAGTGTCTCAGGAGAACTGTGCTCCAGAGTTTTCAATGACTTTTCGGAAGGAGATACCAGGACTTTCTTCCCAGTGCCTTCGGGTAGACTTGAATCTCTAGCCTTTTGGTTAGTGGACTAGTGTGTTGCCGTCAAGTTGATTCTGACTCACAGTGACCCTACACGACAGGGTAGAACTGCCCCATTGGGTTTCTAAGGCTGTAAATATTTTTAATTTTTTTGTGACTTTGGTTAAAGTTTACAGAGCAAATTCATTTTTCATAGAGCAGTTCACATATGTTGGTGTCTACATGCGCTGGTGTAGACATTTTGTTTCATGACATTGACTGTACTTCCTCACAATGTAACAGCTCTCTTCCCACTTCCTCCCTGTAGTTATCGCTTCTCTGTGTCCTTTCTTATGCACTCCTGCTGCCTGAGCTATCTCCCTGTGCAAATACCACCCTTTTGTTCTCCCACAATTGACTGTTCTAGGGAGTGTATCTGCCTGACTCTATATGCCTGTCTATTGATTAGCTGGAAGCCACTGGGAGTGAGTTCAATTCCAGATCCAAAAGGTGGCTAGGGGCCATAGTCTCAGGTGTCTCACCACTAAGGCTGGAAATCTTCACAGAAGCAAAGCCCAAACCAAACTCAAGGCCATCAAGTTGATTCTAACTCAGTGACCATTTATTTAGGAGAGAGTTGAACTGTGTAATACGGTTTCCAAGACTGTAAATCTTTACGGGAACAGACTGCCACATCTTTCTCCCATGGAACAGCTGGTAGCTTTGAGCCCCAACCTTTCAGTCAGCAGCAAAGCACTTAATAGCTCTGCCACCAGGGCTCCTTTCCCTGGATGGAAAGGCCCCCCGTTACCTGTGTCTTCTTGGCTCACTCACTCACAGAATGATGGTGGCCAAGTGGGATGGTGAGCAGAAGCCGGCAAGTGTTACGATCTTAACAAAGTTCAACAAGATGCAAAGGGCTAGAAGGACAGGGGCAGCCAGGTTTCAAGTACATGTTCTCCCGGGGGAAAAGGAGAGCAAGAACTCACACATCACTCCTGAATCTTACTGACCTTGAGAGAGAAAATGTGAGTGTCTCCTGTGTGCCAGGCACTCTCCTAGGCAGAGGGAGCCAGCCGTGAACAGAGAACCAGTGTCCCTGCCCTACATGGGTTAGACTGGAGGCAGGGACCTTTTTAGTCTTTCCTCAACTACCTTTACACCAGAATGACTATTTGTCAGGATGACTGGTCTAACTTCCTCCTCCATTTTCCCTCCCACCAACCACTGCTCTGTACCCCAAGGGCACAGGCCAGAATCAGAAGGGAAGGGAAGGGAAGCAGATGGGTCTGAAAACCAACCACCCTGCCGCCCAGGGACACTGGGGGTTTCCCTCAAATATGACTTCCTCTCTAACACCTTGTGACTTCCTCTCTAACACCCTGTGACTTCCTTTCTAACATCCCAAGACTTCCTCTGTAACACCCTGCGATTTCCTCTCTAACACCCCGTGACTTCCTTTCTAACATCCCAAGACTTCCACTGTAACACCCCGCGACTTCCTCTGTAACACCCCGCGACTTCCTCTGTAACACCCCGCGACTTCCTCTGTAACACCCCGTTACTTCCTCTAACACCCCATGAATTCCTTTCTAACATCCTGCGACTTCCTCTGTAACACCCCGTGACTTCCTCTCTAACATCCCGTGACTTCCTCTCTAATACCCTGTAACTTCCTCTGTAACACCTCGTGATTTCCTCTCCAACATCCCATGACTTCCTCTCTAACACCCCAAGACTTCCTAACACCCTGATAATCACTTTGTTGTCAGTTGCTGTCAAGTTGGCTGACTCGTGGCTGTCTCATGTAGAACAGGATGAAATGCTGCCTGTTCCTATGCTATCTCCATGAGCTCCAGTATGTTGGAGCCCACTGTGTCACTCCGTTCCATTGAGGGGTTCCCTCAACTTTGCTGACCCTCTATTTTACCAAACATGACATCCTTTTCTAGTGACTGGTGTTTCCTGATGATGGGGCCCAAAGTAAGTCCTTTGGCCATGTCTGAGCATTTACAGGCCCAGTGAGAGCCGTGGAGGGTATAAAGGGAAAGAACTGGAGAGCCCGGAGGGTAACAGAGATCTGGCTAGGCATGGAGTGGGGGTGACACCACGTGGCCTCAGGGCGAGCCCCAGGGCAGCCCACAGGTCAAGGTGCTGACCCGCTGTCCCGCAAGCCCAGTACAGAACTCACTGGTTGCTGAAGTGCCCCCGGCAGCAGCTTTGCTGTCTGCAAAATCGAGTACTGTCCGTGGGTGCCGGAGGAGATGGACACGTCTGAAGCTGACTTCTTCACCATCAAACCAGCTGGAAAAACCAACAAAGGCAGGGTATGAATCTCAGCCGAGGTCGCGGGTGTCGCAGGGCAGCATCCCAGTGGGCTGCGGGAAGCCCTGCCAGATGAGGGTGGCGTCAGGCGGACGGCAGGCAGGCAGGGCTGGGGCCTAGATACTCACGTGGTGCTTGGGGCATTCACCGATGCAGTGGCCTTACTGTGATTTTTATCGGGTTTCTCCTCTAATGCAGAAACAGCTTGAGTCTATTACTGTAGACTCGGTGGGGAAGCATTATTTGAATGCAAATCCAGTCTAACATACTGGGGATCGGACTTGATATGAAAGTCAGTTGATTTTTTTCAAGTGATTTGAAACACTACTGTTATGTCACCAAGTTTTTAAAAATGTTTGCTGAGAAAATAACCTAAAACTCTTAAAGTAAGGGAATAAATTATGCTACGTTATACTTGTAGCCGCCAATGACAACATGGAATGATGTGCAGAACAAAGGCAGGGTAAGTGGAATAGGATCAATTACCAAACAAAATGGACACCGATTTTGTCAGTAATAGTGAAAACAACAAATGTGAAGATCTGGGCACATATAACCCAGAACAGATGTTTGTGGAAGTGCCTGAAACATAAGGGACTTGCCATAAATAGTATTGTGTTGGCAAAAAAGATGAATAGGTGTGTGTGTTTTGTGTTCATAACCCTCCTTCCTCACCCCTCAGTACTCCCCAGCTATCAGAGGGCCACCGGAAGACGATTTTCAGGTTATGCAGGAAAGTGCCAGGGACACAGCACTGCTTCTAGAGGATGCCGAGTCCCCTCTCCTCAGACACTCAAGGGAGGAAGAGCCTGCTGGGCTGGAGGCCAGCTGGTGCAGCAGCCCCAGGTTCCAGGGGGAGACAGTGGGGTGTGCAACACCTCGCCTGCTGGAGGCTGGCTGTCCCAGACTTCACGTAAGGAGAGAGATGCTGGCAGTAGTCAAGGGGACAGGAGCCTGCCTCTGAATGACAGGGCAGAGGTGAGAAAGAAGTGGAAGAACCCCCCCCCAGTGGTGCCCCCCACTTCCATGTAGGTGGTTTCAAACCGGAAGCAGCACAGTTGGAACATGAAGACACACTCTGTAAATGAATCCACTGTAAATGAATTCACGAGAGACACAGCTGCCTCCAACATCAAACCTGTCACAGACTTGAGACAAAAAGGGGCCTGAGCATTGAGGAAAAGGAAGACAGAGGTACATGGGAAGTGCAGACAGCGAAGATGAACCCTCTTGCATGTACAGTATTACGTGTCAGTGAAGGCAAACATGGGTATACAGGTGGACAGATGGGTGCACAGGCTGAACTATTAGGTATGTCTATGCAGCGGGGAGTATACCCAAGACCATGTATAGGGTTGGCAGACAATGGTTCTCTAAGTGTATTTGCATGCTCTGTAAGAATTCCCAGGTGTATAGTAGAGCTGACAAGGGGCAAGGTTGTAGTCACTTCTTGGGCACACCCAGCTACCCAGAGGGACTGAGTAGTTGAACCTGTGGGCTCAGGATCATAGTTGCAGGGGACATCAAGCTCAATTGGCATAACATATTACATACAATACTGTTCTACTTCCTACTTTGGCGAGTAGCAACTAGGATCTTAAAAGCTTGCAAGCAGCCATCTAGATACAACAATGGGTCTCTCTTTGTCCAGAGCAAAGAAGAATGAAGAAAACCAAAACTTCATGGAAACAGTTAGTCCTAGCGACTGGTATACCATGTGATCCCCAGCCTATACAACTATGAGACCAGAAGAACTGGATGGTGCCTGGCTACCACCGTCAACCACTCGGAGGGGGATCTATGTAAGAGATCCTGGATAGAGAGGAAGAACAATGTGGAACAAAATTCAAAATCATGTGGGGAAAAAAAGGGGGGGGCAGGTTTGCTGGTCTGATAGAGCCTGGTAGAACCACTGAGACTATGGCCCCTAGCTGCCCTTCAGGTCTGGAATTGAACCCACACCTGTGGCTTCCAGCCAAACAAAAGACAGGCATATGAGTTGAACATTTACCTGAGGTAGATACACTCCTTGGAGAGAACAATCATGGGAGAAAGAAGGGCTGCTTATGCACAGGGAGACAGCTCAGGGGGCAGGAGTGCATGGAGGGATGGACACAGGGAAGAGTTAACTATTGGGAAGAAGTGGGAGGGGAGCTGTTGCATTGGGGTAAATTGTAGTCAATGTCATGAGACAACGTGTTGTGAACTCCTGTATGGAGAGTGAATTTGTTCTGTAAACTGTCACCCAAATCACAATATAAAAAAAGAAAAGGGGGGGCCTGAAGCGAGGAGGAAAGCACGGAAGCCCCAAAGCGAGGCCGAAGCAGCTTCAGAAGTGGATTTCAGGGAGGAAGACGCGATTACTCCCAGCAGGCATTGTGGCGGTGAGCAGAGAGCAGGGGAGGCTTACTTGGAGGGGGGGGTCTCTGTGGTGGGTGAGGTGGCCGAGGCCTATTGGGAACCGACAGAGACCTGCTTGGAGAACGGTGGCGGAAGTCCCCAACGGCTTCAAGCTCCTGCTTTAACTCCGCCCGCTCAGCATCATCTGGAGGACACGTGGGACAGCTGTGAGATGGTGGGGCCACGAGGCACAGCCGTCGGGCCTGGGCGGGGACCCCCGCAGGACAGCGTGCACTCAGGAGCAGACGCCCCTTTCTGCTGGCGTGGAAGGGAGGCAGGGGGACCCAATGCCTGCTTGGAACACTCAGTGACCCACTGGTGGGGTTTACATGTTTCCCATGGAGCTGTGTGTCCTTTGGACATCATCAGTGAGGACTGGACACAGAGTGGAGAGACAGGTGGAAACCAGAGCCCTGAATGGTCACCCAGTCACAGGGGAGACAGGTTCTAATTTATTGCCCCAAAAGGAGGCCAGGTTTTTGAAAGCTGAAGGTATTTTCCCTCCTCTGATGGGGGGCAGACTGCAACTCAGCTCTACTATTGAGGATTCTAGCTGTCGCCCAAGTGTCCACCATCTTGACGGCATGGACACATTCTGTGAAGCTTACAGGGGTGTGGGGAGGTGGCTGCTTCTGTTTTATTACCGAAAAACCAGCTGCCGTTGTGTTATTTCCGACTCAAGGCAACATTGTGTGTGCAGAGCAGAACTGGGCTCCACATGGTTCAGGGACCTTTCGGAAGCAGATAGCCAGGCCTTCCTTTGGAGGCACATCTGGGTGGACTCAGACTGCCAGCTGCCTGTACCACCCCCGGACTCCCTGTTTCTGTGTGACTGCAGAGCTTACCTACGCAGGACAATTTGAGGTCTTCTGCCCTGGACCGTACCACAGCCCAATGCATCTCATTTTGGCCCATGCCTCAAAGGCCCCGGCTCAGCCCTGTGTATGTCTGAGCCTGGAACTGGGAGAAGCAGCACTTCTCCCTCTAACGGGGCTCCCTGGACACCGTGTAGCACTGGGGAGCTGTGTGCTCCATGCCCACCGGTGACGGGCTGCCCAAGGAGTCTCGTCTTGCTCTGTTCATTTCTTTACTCAGAGACGGCTCTGCATTCATGCCAGCTCTGTCCGCCAGAGGCTGCCTGGATGACAGTCACCCCAGAGGAAGGGCCGCCTCATCCCCTCAGCGTCTCCCAGGGCAGAAGCCCTAGACGAGAAACACAGAACTGCCTTGATGTTCCGACAAGGCTGGTCCCAAACCAAGCTCCATGTGGGATCTCCCGGGGCCTCTGTGAAAGGTCTCATCGCCCCAGCTCCACACCCACCAGATCCCAATCTCCACGTGGGGCTCAGGGCAACATTTGTGTCACAGGTCCTAACGATCCCATGCACCAGACCACAGATCCACTGTGGGACCACCCTACCGTCAGAGGCTCAGGTGTCTTTGCCTTTCTCCCCCAGAAACCCCTGAATTTGCTCTCACAGCTATTCTCTGCCCCAGTCCACAGGGTCCTGGCTCATGGGGGGAGCGGAGGTCCGCTGCACCTGCTGGGGGGAGACCGCCCCTCCAGGCAGTGGAGACACAACGCCTCACAGCTGGAAGCAATCCTGGCTGTCTGTGAAACCTGCCAGAGTCTGACTCCGAACACCAACTACCCTCCTTTCCAGCCCCAGAGCTCCGCTAGTACCAACTGCTGCCAAGTCAGCTCAGACCCATAGTGACCCCATGTGTGCAGGGCAGAACTGGGCACCATAAGATTTTCAGTGGCTGAATTTTCAGAAGTCAGTCACCAGGACTTTCCTCCAAGGCGTCTCTGGGTGGACTCGAACCACCACCTTTTCTGTTGCAGTGGCCAAGAGTGTTGACTGTCTGCACCTCCCAGGGACTCTCATGTAACTCTCAAAAAAACCAAACTCACTGCCGTCGAGTTGGATCCGACTGACAGCGACCCCTCCTTGAGTTTCCAAGGCGGTATCACAATGGAAATAGATTACCCAATTTTCCTTCCGGGAGTGGCTGGTGGGTTGAACCGCCAGCCTTCTGGTTAGCAGTTAAATGCCTTAGGCACTATGCCACCAGAGCTCCCTAGAGGGTTTTCAAACTTACTCAAAGGAGTTATTAGACCATTTAACCTAGGAATGTGCAGCTCAGTCAATAGAACTTTCCAGCCCTCTTTATTCAGGTCTCAAATTCCTAGGAGCCATGGTGGCACAAGTGGTCAGCAATCAGCTGCCAGCTTAAAGGTTGGTGGTTCGAACCCACAGAACAGCTTCACAGAAGAAAGCCCTGATGAACTGTTTCCATAAAGATTACAGCCGAAACCCAATGGAGTATTTTCACTGTGTAACACCCAGGGGTTCACTGTGAGTCAGAGTCAGCTTGACAGCAGTGGGTTTGGTTTGTGTTTTTTAAACATGACTAAAGCATTCGACTGCTAACAAGAAGGCTGGTGGTTCAAACCCACTAGTTGCTCAGTGGAAAAAGATGGGGTGATCTACTTCTGTAAAGATTTACAGTCTCAGAAACCCAATGGGGTCGCTATGAGTCGGAATCAACTCGATGGCAGTGAGTTTGGTTTTCTGGTTTGTAGCAATAAACGTATCAATATAACAATACAATGGCAACTCAGCAAAGATACTGAATGTCTGTTATGGGGTTAAATCAAAAGTTTTTTTTGGAAAAATTAGAAAGAGTTAAAACCAATTCAGACCTGTGACCACATGACCGTGTGAGCATACAGGAAACAGGGATTGTCATGCACCTGGCATTCTATATGGATAGAACTTGTCATGGAAACATGAACGAGAATGACTAGAGACAGTCAGTGTGGTGGAAGCTGGGTCCCCCTCCCCAACGTGTTCACACAGACTGTGACTCTCATCTTGGACCGCTGACAGGACACGATCTTGGTTGGGACCATTATGAAGTGTCTGACTCTGAGGGAGAAAGAACATACCTGCCCCAGTGGAACCAAACACCGGGGGCCACTGAGGAAGGGAAGACCCAACCTACCTTTGTATGTTGGCTGCTGCTGCTTTTTGGTGAGTGCAGGCGACCTGCTGGGAAGGGCTGCTGCCGTGGAGCCAGGGGCTTCTGGAAGGTCATCTGCCAGCAGCTCAGTGTCGGAGACCACCGGCCGATGCAGCTCCCCCACCAAATAGTCCTCATCGTCGTCCAGAATGTCCCCTTGGAGCAGGAAATGGATCAAAGGAGACAGGGAGGGTGAGACGCACCTACTTGTTCATCAGTGGGTCTGTTTCCTCTCCATGCCTGTAGTTCTGGTCAGAACACACATGGCTCGGGCCAGAAGTGGCACATGTGTGATCATACACATGTGATCAGAGTGCTATGACCCCATCAGACAGGAGATGCAGGGGCCAAGCCAATACCCTCAGAGCCACTGTCCTCAATGTACCTTGAGATGGTTCTAGGGGACCACCATGCCCCCCCAAACACAGCCTGTTCTTGTGCATGCAGTACAATGCTTGCCCCACCAAGAGCCTTTAGCCCGTTACAAGGCAGGGCTTGGAAAGGGGGTCTTTGAAACCTCACATCCAGTGCCAAGACACTTGCTGGCCCGTCTTCACCAGAGCTTTGGAGAAGCCCTTATGGGGTTATTAACCTTCAGATTCGTAGTCCAAACTGGTGAAGTCATAGTTTTCTTCCAGCAAGCGGGAATTGGCTGTGGGAGACACCAAGACCACACTCTCCCGTTTCCGAATGATCTCCTCTTGCAAACCTTTCAGCCAGTCCTTCGTTTTGGGTCTAATCTTCACCGCCCTGCCTTTCACCTGTGAGGGCAGAGCGACCATCAAAATAAACAAGTAAAACCAACCCCCTTGGTCACAGAATGCTTCTCATGCAAACTCACACAGTGGGAGCCAGGCCCATCTTCACAATTTGCCAAGATGGCGGAGAAGGGGGCCCCGACCCTGAGCATAGCTCTCTCACAGTGGGTCTAAAGAAAGGTGAAATCACCATTGCCTGATTCTCTTTCCTCGTGAACTTAAAACAAGGATATTAGCAAAATGGAGGCCACATACGAGCTGCATATTCTAAAGAAAAGATTAAGACATGGTGCCATGTGGAGGTCTGAGAGAAGGCAGCCAGGTCACTCCATGGGAGCTATACACTAAACCCTGCTCTTTTTCCCATGTCCCACATGGAGCCAGTGCTGGCCGTTGGACAGCTCAGTCAAGCAGAAGGAAGGATCCCAGCTCCCTCCCTCATGCAGACCTACCCAGGAAGACACAGGTCAGGACAGGAGAGGGGTGACACGCCACATGAAAGCAACAGAGAACCTAGCACCTGGAGTCTTAAAAGCTTGTGAGCAGCCATCTAAGATACAACTATTGGTCTCTGGTTATCAGAAACAAAAGAGAAAGAAGGAAACCAAAGTCTCAGAGAAGATTTTAGTCTACAGGGCTAAGAGCTTACACAAGTCACGGCTTCATCTACCCTGAGACCAGAAGAACTAGATGGTGCCCAGCTACCACTGCCACCTGTCGTGATCAGGAACACAATAAATGGACCCTGACAGAATGGGAGGAAAATGCAGAACAGAGCTCAGATTCTTAACAAATCCAGACTTACTGGACTAGTTGAGCCTAGAGGACTCCCCTGGCTACTGCCATGACACACTCTTTGAACCTTGAACTGAAAGTATCCCTAGGTCACCTTTTAGTGATGTAACAGATTGGCACCCAAAATAAAGGCTATCACCCATGAGTACCAAAAGGTCAACAATTATTCTAGAGCAAAGAAGAGAAGATGAGGGGGCAGGGACATTAGAGTACTGGAAATGGAACAACCAGAATGCAATTAAGGAGAATGTTGACACACTGTGAAAAATGTGACTAATGTCACTGAACAACTTGTATAGAAATTATCAAATGGGAACCTAAGTTCCTGTGTAAACTTTTACCAAAAATATAATAAAATACTACTAACAACAAAAAGCAATAGAAAATCATGGGGACCCATCAGCCCTGATGCCACTATTGGCCGGTGACCCACCTTCATGCCATCCATGTTCAGGACGCTGAGAGCTGAGTGACTATCTGCAAAAGTCACCAGCATCTGCCCTTGATTGATCCTGGAATAGATAAGACAGGCCAAATCAGCCAGAGAATGTGGGTCCTTGAGGGGATCCCCACACTGCACCACGTCAGCCGGCTGCAGGTACCTGACAAGAACAATGGTCCCATAGTTCCCCAAGGTCTGCATGAGCTCTGCACGCAGGTCCTCGGGGAATTCGTTCCTCTCTTCTAAGGTTGGCGACTGGAGATTTACCACAACGGTGGCATCCAGGGGGCCCTGGAAAGAGGAGACCTCTTGGAAAACTCTCTCCCGTGCATCTACGTCAACTTCTTGTACCTCCACCTCCACAATGGCCAGCACAGGTCTGTCAGACACAGAGGGAAGCGGAAACAGTGACCCTGAGACAAGAAATCGACACAGAGAGCACATCCAACCTGCAGCCTCCGACCGGCCATCACAATGAACATGGACCACCCATGACTGTGCCCACCGGCTCCTGTAGGGCCACCAGCTGTCTTGTCCCAGGGACGTCCATTTTCATCCTGAGCCAATCTCAGTATCATCTATGCGTTTTTATCTAAGGATGATTTGGGTGGCAAAAAAAAAAAAAAATGACTATGCTCTGAAAATTTAACCCAGGAATCAGAAAACAACCAGCTTTTTGCTGTTGTTTTAAGTATATATCTAGGAGCTCTGGTGGTGTAGTGGTTAAGGCATTTGGTGCTAACCAAAAAGTTCGTGGTTCAAACCTACCAGCTGCTCTGCAGGAAGAAGTTGAGGCAATCTATTTCCATAAAGATTTACAGCCTTGGAGACCCAATGGGGTTCACTGTGAGTCAGAATCAACTCAATAGGCAGCGAGTTTGGTTTATGAAATATATATCAAACACAACATTTGCCAATTTAATGTTTTTCATGTATTGAATTTACTGACACTGATTACATTAAGTGTGTTTTACAACCATCATCAATCAATGTGCCAAAATCTCATCCCCGTGAGTGGAAACTCCCTGCTTCCTAAGCAACGGCTTCCCTTCCCCAGCCCTTCCCCTGGTGAGCACTAGCGTGCTCAGTGGTCATCAAAGAGTTTTTCAACAGCATCCCCGGTACCACTAAGGATGTGGAGAGGTGGATACTTCTACTCAGCCGGAGGTTCCAGCTTTTATAAGGACTCGTCAAAAATTTGTATTAAGAGTCTCAAAAATATTCATTTCTTTTCACCTAGCAGTCTTACTTCTAGAACTGTACTCTAGAACACATTCTGTAGGAAATGATCAGTGATTCAAAGGTTTATACACCAGGTCGTTCATTAGAATGGTGATAATAGGAGAAAAAGGAAACCACGTAACTGTTCTCTCATGTGGGAGACATTGTGATACATCCATGCAAAAAAACCCAAACCAAACCCCATCGCCATGGAGTCAATTCCAACTCTTAATGACCCTACAGGACAGAGCAGAACTGTCCCATAGCCTTTCCAAGGCTGGGAATCTTTACATAAGCAGGCTGCCATGTCTACCTTCCATGGAGCAGCTGGCGGCTTTGAACCACTGACCTTTCAGTTAGCAGCCAAGAACTTAACCCTGGTGCCCAGGGCTCCTCCACGGAAGAACAGGCATGTAATGTAACGAGTGTAGAACTCTGTGACATACACAGGAGATAACACAGTTGCCAGGGAGATTCTGATACAGGGATGGGTGATGTCTTACTAGTTACAAGCACCCAGAAACTCTTTTATTATGAAGATTATGTGAATTTACTGCAGACATTTACAATGTAAATTAAATGGAAACAAAGTGAAATACAAAATGGCACATCCTGTGGGAAGACCTTGAAGATGAAGAAACTGCAAAAATGAAGACATCTGATAGGGTGATGGGATCAGGTGGCCACGGGCTGGGAGGGGTTGGGGGGCAATGGGAAGCAACTGCTAATGCCTATGGGGTTTCTTCTGGGTGACGAGAATGTTCTAGAAGTGATAGTGGTGATGGCTGCACAACTCTGTGAATATAGTAAAAACCACTGAATTGTACATTTTAAATGCATGAGCTGTACAGTATACGAACTGTTAAAAAAGAAAAAAAAAAAAACAGACTGTTTGCAACAACAAAACGTTAGAAAAAGCATTCACTAATAGGTGACAGGGTAGAAGTTCATGGATGCATGTCATGGAACACTTCACAGCAGTTACACACCAATGAGCCAGATCTCTGCTGGTGACACACTGTATCCCAAAAATATGAAGTCAGAAAAAGCAAGCTGTGCAATGATACCATTTATGAAAATTCAGAAAACCCCGAATTTGAAACTTTCATAAACCACGTCCTGCATGATCTGGGGCAAAATGTTAACATTTACTGCTCCTCGGTGGTGGGTGTCAGGTCTGTCACATCCTCCTTGGGCTTTATTGTCTTCTGCACGCACACACGCGCCCCTTCTGGGGAGGAGGAGGCCCTGCCCTCTGGGCGGCAGCCGACGGGACATACCTGTGATCGGATGCTTGCAGCTCCGCCCGGCCGTAGTAGGCGAGGACCCCGGGAGACCAGCTGTGTTTGACTCTGGCGTCAGCGCTAAGATCACTGTCTAGAAGGTGGAGTTCTCCTGCTACTCAGAGGTTCCGTCCCAGAAATCCACACACAACAGAAAATTCTATCAATGTCACTGATCAGACACCTCTGCTGAGTTTCACATCATAAAACACCACGGGCCTCAGTCTTGTTCAGGCTACCCTCTGGGGCTTGAAACCAGCCCGGGGTGTTGCTTAGGGGACTGGACTTTAAAAACAGTGTCTGGCCCCAGCTTGGTGTCCCAGGCCAGGCAGGTGGTCACTGATGCCTCTGAGTGAAAATTTACTTTCCTCACCTGCAGATGTGCCGACCCTGCTTACAAATGTGGGTGTACATCTCTCCAGAAGGCCCGCTGTTTATGGACTGTGGACAGGTGTTCTAACTTTAATCGCACCTCACTTCTTAGCTGAGCATCAATAAAGTAGTTCAAAACCTTCTCAAGAACTAACTGGTAAAAATTCTTATCTTTATGGTACCTGCCAGTTGCCACCTGAGTCAGCTCCAACTCATGGTGACCCCACGTGCATCACCGTCCCACAGTGCTCCGTAGGGTTTCCAATGGCTGATTATTTGGAAGTAGACCACCAGACCTACTGGGTGGACTCGAAGCTCCAAACTCTTTGTTAACAGTTAAGTGCATCAATCATTTGTACCATCAGAATCTCCTTTGGGGTCTAGCTCCCACGTACCTTGCTTTAAGCAGACAAAGTCAGAGTCTG